TGCCCGGCTACCACTGTCATCCACTTGGAAGGGATGTAGGAGATCCTGGATAGAGTGGGAGAACAATGTGGAACAAAACTCAAAATCATTTGGAGGGGAAAAAAAAAAATGGTGAGGTGGACCAGGTTTGCTGGTCCTATAGAACCTGGTGGAACCACCGAGACTATGGCCCTTAGCTGCCCTTCAGGTCTGGAATTGAACCCACACCTGTGGTTTCTAGCCAAACAAAAGACACGCATATGAGTTGAACATTTACCTCAGGTAGATACACTCCTTGCAGGAAACAATCATGGGAGAAAGAAGGGCTGCTTATGCACAGGGAGACAGCTCAGGGGGAAGAAGTGCATGGAGGGATGGACCCTGGGAAGAGGTAACTATGGGGAGTAAGTGGGAGGGGAGCTATTGCATTGTGGTAAACTGTGGTCAATGTCATGAAAGAAGTGTATGTGAACTGCTGTACAGAAAGTGAATTTGCTCTGTAAATCTTCACCCAAATCACAATAAAAAAATTAAAATAAAATAATAATATCTTAAAATAACTACTAACAATTAGTGTAATACAATTATTATCCAAAAACATGTATAATACCATCCTTAAGAACCTATCCGTTTAGTATAAGAGAAAAATATGTAAATATAAAATCAAAGAACTTATAATAATATTTTTTCCTAAAAAAAAATACAGAAGTAATATTGGTATTTCCAACTCAAATTTAAGATTGATGATGTTTTTCCCCAATGGCTGTGTGTCCAACAATAACTCATAGCAATGAGCTCCAGTATGTCAGATGATACTAAGAAATTGTAGTTAATTTTCTTAAAAACATAATTATATAGGAGCTCCGGTGGCGTAGTGCCTAAGGCATTTGACTGGTAACCAGAAGGCTGATGGTTAAAACCCACCAGCCACTCCTGGGAAGGAAGATTGGGCAGTCTACTTTCCTAGTGATAATGCCTTGGAAAGCCAAGGAGGGGTCACTATGAGTCAGATCTGACTCAACAGCAGTGAGTTGGGTTTTTTTTTTTTTTTTTTGGTATCAATCAGAAGTACATAAAGAAGTACTTGGAGGGGAAATTATATGATGTCTAGGATTTACTTTAATAAAGTGCTTTTTTTTTCCTCTCTCAAGGTGTTTTAATCATTTAAAAACAAGAAAGTTAGCAAGTGCTTAAAAAAAGTGGAGGGGCCTTTGCTAGCCTCAGGTCCCAACTGACAGAAATATGTGTTAACTTCCTGTGTGATACAGGTTCTGAAGCTCTGGAGATCATGCCTAGTAGTATAATGATAATAAAAGATTCAGGGCAATATGGAAGTTGCCAACCAACTGACACCCTCCCCACAATCCAATATGCTTCTCTGAGGAAGAGCAAGTGGAAGGAGGAAGGGGAAGTATATTAAGAGGTGGAGTCAGACTCAACAGGTACAATCATGCCACACTTGCCTCAAGGCATTTGGCTTTGAAATTTTAAAAAGGTGGTTGGGAAGGCCTCATTGAGAAGGTGACATTTGGGTTAAGGAGACAGGGAGAGAGCCATAGATATCTGGGGAAAGAGTGGTTTAGGCAGAAGTTGTCATTGTTGTTAGGTGTATGGTGTCAGTTCCAACTCACAGTGACCCGACGTACAATAGAACAAAACTTTGCACAGTCCTGAGTCATCCTCACTGTCGTTGCTATATTGAGCCATTGTTGCAGGCACTGTGTCAATCCATTTCATTGGGGGTCTTCTTTTTAGTGGATCCTCTATTTTTACAAGCACGATATCCTTGTCCTGGTAACATGTCTAAAGTACATGAGATGAAGTCTTGCTATCTTTACTTCTAATGAGCATTCTGGCTGTACTTCTTCCAAGACAGATTTGGTCATTCTTCTTACAGTCCATGGTATATTTGATACTCTTTGCCAACACCATAATTCAAATGCATCAATTTTTCTTTGTCTTCCTATTCATTGTCCAGCTTTTGCATGCATATAAGGCAATTGAAACACCGTAGCTTGGACTAAACAAGAAGAGTGCAGCATCAGGATTGGAGGAAGACTTATTAACAACCTGATTTACTGATGATGCACACGACACAAACTTGCTTGATGGAAGTGAAGAAGAATTGAAGCATTTACTGATGACCATCAAAGACTATAGCCTTCACTATGGATTACACCTCAATATAAAGAAAACAAACAACTTGACCAAAAAGGAACATCACAATAAATGGAGAAAGATTGATGTTGTCAGGAATTTCATTTTACTTGGATCTACAATCAACACCCATGGAAACAAACCAAAAAA